GGATATGTCCCGGGAAATACGGACGTTTGGTCACCCTAAGCTATGCTAGACAGGCCATATGGTGAGTCTGGTAGATTTTTTCAGCAAAAGGAGGAAAATAAGAAAGTAAATAAGCAATGTTCATTTGCATAGCACCTTTCACAGACATAGAGGTCACAAAGTGCTTCAAAAAATTACAATACAAACGAAATACATTTACAGTGACAAAAGACATGTTCATAAAACAACCCTTAATCTATTAGAATTAAAAAATTTTTTAAACAAAAAGGTTTTCAGTTCCCTCTTAAAAACATCAACAGAATCAAGAATCAAGTAAGCGCAAGGAAAGTGGAAGATCGTTCCAGAGTGCCGGCACAACCGCCTGAAAAGAGCGATCTCCTCCTGTCCTGTAACGAGTACAAGGGACCATGAGCAGGTTTCGGTCCTCAGACCTCAGCCTCAGAGGGGGTATAAGGACACAACAAGTTTCTAATGTAGGAGGGAGTCTGACCGTGAAAGGCCCTGAAGGTCAGCACAAGGATTTTAAAGTGTAACCGAAAAGAGACTGGGAGCCAATGAAGAACTTTTAGAATTGGCGTAATATGAGCCCTTCTGTTTGTACGAGTCAGTAACCTCGCCACAGAGTTCCGAACCTGCTGAAGATCAGACAACTGCTTTTTGTTTAGACATGAGAATAGACTGTTACAGTGGTCTAAATAGGAAGACACAAAGGCGTGGATAATAATAATAATAATAATAATAATAATAATAATAATAATAATAATAATAATAATAATAATAATAATAATAATAGAAATTTATGAAATATAATCCTAAATATTAAAATACTTTTTTGCATTTAAATGTTTGGATCTTCTGATCTTGTCATGTTAAAGGGTAATGGAAAAGGTAAAGAAAAAAAGAAAATAGAAGAGGAATATGGAACTAACTTATCAAATGTGTGATCAGGAAAGATATTTCTAAATCAAATTTATGAGTTGTGGTTTTTAAATATCCATTTAGAAATAGGATTTGAAATAATGGATTAATACGATTTACTATTTCTCTCTAACAATTCAATTAGAAAACACTTTTCAAAATGGATTTAAATGGCTGTTTTTCCTTTTTCAGAAACTCTTCTGGTTCTCCATACATAGCAGGGTGGAAACCCCTCTCCTCTTGTCAATGGTTCAGTCCATGTTATTTAATGTCCCCACCCCTCTCATAATAACAGGAATGGTTCAGTCCCTCGGGGCGCGAAACTTATCTAACAAACATGGCGCCGAAAGTAGGTAGGTGTGATTTTTTTTCAAAAACGAATTATATTTTAAAAAACAGGCTATTTTAACCATGTTTTGAAGGTGACATCCGAAAAGAACTCTTTCCAATCACTCAAAGGTCAAAACATCGTTAGTTGTAATACTTCCAGGGGAACCTTTAATCATTTAATTTTGTGCTAACTCCAAATTGATTTATAACATGGCGTCTCCTTGTTGGAAACCGTTATTTAACACAGTGATTGTAAAGCTTCTCTGGGTTAAACGTAGAGCCTGTTGTGTTTTGTTAAGCCCGCAGAGGGACGAAGCGCAAAGCGGAGGAGGAGGAGCAGGAGCAGGCATCCACAGAGAAGAAGAAGGAAGACGAGGAGGAGAGCGGCCTAAATGGCCTAAAGGTGGTCATTGAACACTGGTAGGCACCTCTGTAAAAACTCATTAGATGGCTTAAGCAGTTCATCTTTTGCACCTTTTCAGATATTTACTATCATTTTGATTTGAAATAAATTTCTAACAGACATTAGGTCTCCCATTAGTCAGCATATTTCTGACGTTTCCCTGGTTCTTCAGTAAAACATGCAGAGGTCATCTCATCACCTGAAGCCCTGGTTCTGGAACAGACACCTAAAATACTTCAATTTGAACTGGAAAAGAAAACAATTTTCAAACTGATGGAGCTTTGTATAATAATGGCTCATTTGCACTGATAGTGTTGTCATTTATATAAAATTAAAGACATCAAGGTTTGAAAATGGTGTGCTGAGTAGGCTGATCATGTTTAGTAGGAGGGGCAGGGTGGGGCCAGCATGTTTTCATGGGGACACAGAAAAGCATAAAACAGAAAACTGGGCAATAATGGGGGGTCTAGTGGTCGGGGCATAGAGCTTGGAATAGGTTCTGGGTTCGAGCCAAAGAATGCCACTTTGGGGCCCTGAGCAAAGACTCGAAACCCCACGCTGCTCCCCGGGTGCTGCACAATGGCCGCCCACTGCTCCTCAAGTGGATGGTTTAAATGCAGAGAGTAAATTTTGTGTCTTTGTACTTGTGACAGTGTAATTAAAATAAAAAAAATAAAAAAACTGGAAAAATTTATGAAGAGGGCAGTAGAATTTAGGTCTGAAACAACTAATTGGATTAATTGATTATTGAAATAATCGTCAACTAATTTAGTAATCAGTTGTTTACTGGAGTATAGAGACTCTAAAATGTGCCTTACCAGTATTGTTAAAAAAATGATCAAACATTTTGCATTTAAGATAAATAAAAGTTTGTCAATGTGATCTAACCAGAACTCCTTCAGTCGAACAATTTTAGTTTCACCTGGTTTAATTTCCTAAACAAAAAATATTTAAGGAACCTTTTGCTATCTGATTTTTAATTGATTAATTGAAAAAAATAATTGACAATAATTGTTAGTTGCAGCCCTAGTAGAATCAAAAAGCCACTTGTGGCACTGAATGAAGGGGCCACCTCATCTTATTTAATAAAATTCTATGTCTGTCAAAATCTATCTAAAATTAGAGTCTACATGAAACTTTTTTTTCATAAATGTAAAGCTGGAATTATAGCATTTTATAAACTCAGCTAAGTGATAATGACAACAGGGTGCGATTAAAGTCTTTGACAGCTTCAGGTCAGCATATCTCTACTGATGAAAAGGTGCAGACTGAAGCTTTTTATGTAGACAGATCTGCAGCCTTTCAACAGTTTTTCAAACAGCTTTTCTGTGAACTTATTCTATTTCTATAAATCCTGATTTAATAATGAATCTTTAGTTTCCTTCCACCTTTATTTATGTGCTTATTGCATCAAGGACTTCATGCTATTGAATTCCAGCTGGACTAAAGACCATGACATCTAACCATCCTCAAATGTCCCTGTTTATGTGGTCTGTCAAAACTGTGCTTGTCTACATCCGTGTGCTGTTGTTCATTCATGAACTTCTTTGTCCTGCAGCAAAAGCTGACGAGTGTATGGGCGTAATGCCGAGGAGGTTAAATCTGCCCTTCTGGCTGCCCGCCCTGATCTGACTGTGGTCCTCAACCCTGAGAAGCCCCGCAGGAACAGCTTTGAGATCTCTCTGCTGGATGGAGGCAAAGGTGGGTGGGGGTGAGATGGAAGTGCCAAGAATAAATTGGCCGTTTGGTCCTCTGAAGGAAAGGCCAAACGTCCTGCCAAGTCTTAACCCTTTAAGTTTCCAGTGTGGTAGTCTTGAATCATTTAGCTGCTGGAAACAATTGGCCTGTCACAAACAAGCATAGAAATCTAAAGTGTTATGATTAAAATTGACTCCAGTTTTTGCAGTAATCCTGCATCTTAACAGCCTGATCCAGAAAAGATGGATGTGGCTTTCTGGTTTCCTGTATATAAAATGACCTGCCTCTGTTTTGTGTTTTAAAGAAATCTCTCTTTGGACGGGAATAAAAAAGGGTCCACCTCGTAAGCTGAAGTTTCCTCAGCCTGATGATGTTGTTGCTGCTCTGCAGGAAGCTCTTAAAACTGAATAAACCCCAAGTGAAGGTCAGTCAAAGTTAATCTTTTTAAATGTGATTTGTTTTATTTTTTATATTTAGAAGCACATGTCGCCGTTGTATTTAATAAAATATTTGCTCCAGCTTATCGTTTTGAGTAAACCTTGATCAGAGATTTGTGTTTGTAGCTGAACGTCCAGGACCTGACTGGTGGAAGCAGAATGATGAGGTGTGACCAATGAGTGTTCAGTCTCTCCTCTGATGAACACAGCTCCACCTGAACACTTCTGGACAAACGGCGACACCTGGTGGATCCTCTGATCTAATGCAGACATTTTTCTAGTGCTACAGCCCAGTTCTCAAAAGTTTTAATATTTTTCTATATAGCAGTTTCTGAATAAAGTGTTTACAAGTTATTTTATTGGTGTGTTTTGTCTTTTTTTTTTCTTTTTTATAAAGACTAACTGAAATAAGTTATCAACGCCCTTGTTTTGTGGTTACAGCGATCAAATGGAGCCAATCAATCAGTGTTTTTTTTTTTTTTACCCAGTGCTTTACAAATCTACTTTTTTTTTTCTTTTTTCCCCCCCCAACTATTTGTTTTATGAAAACTTTTATTCTAACTTGATCAAATGTCATTCATTCAAGCCTGATACTTTATAAATTTTGATAATATTAGAAAATTGTTAAAGCACAAGAATAAAAAAGCCTGATCCAACGTTTATATTAAAGTATTTTCATAATTTATGAAAGCAGCATTTACAATGAGTCACTACACTCTACTTCACAGTTAAAACATAATTCTGAATCAAATACTTTCAATAAGTTATTTTACATTTGGGCTAAACCTAAGTAAAAGAAGTTCCTAATGTTTGTGATTTGATGCTTAAGGTGGGGAAACATCTTTTCTCAAAAGTTCAGTTAGTCTTTCAGAAGAAGCAATGCTGAAAAAGACAATCTTAGTGATACACTTTGGTAACGAGAACCCAAAGTGCACAAAAAATCAGGGAACCACCCCTCTGATATGTTTGCTGCTTAATATCTCTGCATACAATCTGGGATGGTGTCCAAGAGCTCTGGCAATGCTTCCAAATCAGCCATTTCCAAAAAGTGCCTGTGGAGGTTTATAACAACCAGCCGTGGGTATTATGACTATTTTTTAAAGCTTTGTACAAGTGGTGTAATAAACTCTTATCTATTCGTTATTTGACATCAATAAGCCCTTGAATACTCAGTGGACGTTGCAGTGTTAATTGTAGCCACAAGGGGGCACTAGTTACCAAAGTTACGGATACCCCTTTACGTGACGTCATTATTACGCGACCGGGGGCCTCATGAGGAGTGTACTATTTTTTAATCTTCAATACAAGCTTCAGATCTAACGTGTGAGTATTTTACAGAGAATAAAACAGCATATTAACTACGTTATTAACAGCCGGGGAGATGTGGCGCATTTGTATGGAATCTCTTCTGTTATTTTTTTTTGTTATTTTGTAGTTTAGAATTGGTATGCTAACTCTGTGCTAGCTTGTTTTCTGTGTGAGCTCGCTTTCTGGTTTTAATCTTTACTTAATGCAGTCCTATGGCATAATGACAACTATTAGCTCTGCTCTATGGTGTTTTTTCTTCTTCCTGACTATTCTGAGCAAGCTTGAAAGTTGTTTGATGTCTCCTGGTAGTGATGGCAGCGGAGGGGGTGGAAAAAGCCAGCGAGGATGCTACCTCTTCTGGGAAGGTGTGCACTAGGTTCGACTTGGAGAAGGAGACCGAACTTCGTTTCGAGGTGGAGGCCGGGGAGGCCGCGGAGCAGGTGGAGCTGGAGCTCCTGACGGGGATGGCTGAGGTGTTTGGGTCCGAGTTGAACAGAAACAGGAAGTACACCTTTGGAGCAGGATCCAAGATCGCAGTTTTCACCTGGCACGGCTGCAGTGTGAATCTTTTTGGGAAGCCAGAGGTGATCTTCTTATAAACCATGTCATTTTTGCCATTTTTAAATTTATGTGTAAAGAAAAACATGTCTTCTCAAGTAGCCCATTTTAAACCTTATCTTAGGTTGTTCTCAGAGCTCCTCCCATTCATTTATTTTTCAATAAGTGTAATTTCTATAGTTTTAATCAGACTGTTATCACCACAGGTGGCCTATGTGTCCAAGGATACTCCTATGCTGCTTTACCTTAACACTCATGCTGCCCTGGAACAGATGAGAAAACAGGCAGAGCGGGAAAATGAAAGAGGTCCCAGAGTAAGTTCTTATAACGATTGTTTTATAAAAGCATCAGAAACAAAAGAAAAAAACCTTAATCTGCTCCCTGAATAAAACAATCTATTTTCCAGGTGATGGTGGTGGGACCTACAGACGTTGGGAAGTCCACTGTGTGCCGACTGCTTCTCAGCTACGCTGTGAGAGTTGGAAGGAGACCGACACTGGTGGAGCTGGATGTCGGACAGAGTGGGGTAAAGTTTTTTTTTTTTTTTTTTTGCTAATTTGCCTATCACAGTATTTCATTTGTTGCAGAACAACAAAGTGAAGGTCTGTTAACCTAGCCCTGTCATTGCTAATATCAGTTCTTTCACAGTGCGGCTCTAGCTGATGTGTATCTAGGTAAATTTGTGTTAATGCTTGGAGCCATTCGATGCATGGAACATGTTATTCTTTTCATTACCAGAGCTGATACAAAGACAAGATAAATGTAGATGTAGAATGTGTGTTAAAGAATCTGCTGGTGTGATGGTGTTGCAAAGATGTCTTTTTCTGGGTTCTAGATTTATGTCCTGACTAAGGAAAAATCTCCCGGCTGTTCTTAAGAACTAAACAGTAAATGTTATTTGGTTGTTTTAGGTTTCTGTTCCAGGGACTGTATCAGCTCTGTGTATCGAGCGTCCGGCAGATGTGGAGGAGGGCTTCTCTGTCCAGGCTCCTTTGGTGTATCACTTTGGTTCTACTACTCCCGGAACCAACATCAAACTTTACAACAAAGTGAGTAGTAACATCTCGCACTTTGCTGATAAAAGGTTTCTATTGTTTTTCTCTGACTGTTTTTTATCTTATTGTAGCTGACATCATGCCTGGCAGAGGTTTTCTCTCAGCGCTGCGAGGTAAACAGGAAGGCCAGCGTTGGAGGCTGCATCATCAACACTTGCGGCTGGGTGAAGGGTTCTGGGTACCAAGCTCTGGTTCACTGCGCCTCCACCTTCCAGGTGGATGTGGTGCTTGTGCTCGACCACGAAAGACTCTACAATGAACTGAAAAGGGACCTGCCTCACTTTGTGCGCGTTGTCCTGCTGCCAAAGTCCGGAGGAGTGGTGGAACGCTCCAAAGAGTGCCGGCGGGACGCTCGGGATGAAAAGATCCGCGAGTATTTCTATGGCTTCCGTGGACTGTCCTTCTTCCCTTTCTCCTTCGAGGTGCGGTTTTCGGATGTCCGCATCTATAAGATCGGGGCGCCGTCCATCCCGGACTCGTGCTTGCCGCTGGGAATGTCTCAGGACGACACGCAGCTGAAGCTGGTGCCGGTGACTCCGGGGAGGGACCTGACATATCACGTGCTGAGTGTGAGCAGTGTCGATGACGGGGATGAAGATGCCAGAAAGAGCATCGTGGAGAGCCCTGTGTGTGGGTTCATTGTGGTGACGAATGTTGACACTCAGGCTCAGGTAATGAAGGTGCTGTCGCCTGCACCCAGACCTCTGCCCAGACACACTCTGCTCATCATGGACATCCGATTTATGGACATGAAATAAAAGCTCATGTTTTGGGATGAAGTAATACCAGTCAGCATTCCTGATGCTTTCTGGTTCTGAGGTTTTTTTTTTGTGCAAAGATTTAAAAGAAAACATTTAGAGTATGTCAAATTAAATCATATGTTTTATAGTTGACTCTTGGTAACTGGTTTTATAAAAATTTTTTTTTTTTCTTTTTGTGTAATAAAATTTTAACATTGAGAAGCCCCAAGTGTTAAGTTTGCTTTAACTCTCAAACATTTGTATTTCCGCTGCAATTATTCTATAGTCACACAATCTGCCCCGAATTATAGCTTAAGGGAATCTCACTTTTAAACTAAAGGCTTGGGGTGTTTGTGTATGGTATAGAAGAGGTGTCTGCAAATGGCACCAACCTGTTTAGCGTATACCAGTAGCAACACTACCAGTATAACAGTTCATTGTTAGGAGAACTGCATTTGGAGTTCATTTGATATTTGGTGTGTAAACATCCACCTCGGTGGATATTCAGACCTTTACGCTGTTCTGAATTTTTTTCATCATTAACTTGGATATTTTTCCAGGTATATTGAGCAGCACAAATGAGGGGTTTGTCAAAACCGCCTTTATTTACAGAAATAGGATGCACACAATATGCATGTTGCAAGTATTTAAATATGAAATTGAAATTTATTAGAAATATTCTGATTTTAGTTTAAGTGTGTTTTTCTGCTGACTTGACTTTTACTTGTTGATGCTGCTGTAAAGTGTTGACCATTTCCTGCTCATCTTCTGGCAATTTACTATCATAGTAATTCTGCAGGTTGTGTCTTCTGACATTTTGCCATAAAGGTGAAGGATCTCTTGCTGCTGCATCGTTCTGCATTTTAGAGACTTCACTACAGGCTCCAAATATATTAAACCATGTTTCCTTTAGAGATGAAGCCATTGGAAGAACATCTGCTACATTAACTTTTTATCCTTAGCATTAAAAGCACTGGAAGTTTTGCCTCTCTCATTTCCTTCCTTTTAAGAGTTTTTCGTGCCACCTTCACCATATGCATGCTGAATTTTGCAAGGTTAGCAACTTAATGCAACCAGCTGTTCACTGTTGCTTTCAAAAAATCTACTCCCGATATTTATAACTGATCAAATTAAGAAGTTATTTAATTAGAACATCAACAATTGAGTTTGTTTCAGTGGAAAATATTTATAAAAAAAAAATAAATGAAAGGAAAAAATTTTGAAAAGTTCTGGATTCATTCTTCCCCTGCTTTGTGTGTCAACTGTCACGGTTGCTAAGCGACAGAGCCTACGGCGGCAAAAGCCGTCGAAGGCTAGACCTGTTTGACTTCACAGCCGAAACTCTTCCGGTCTCCTTTTTTTCAAAGCATTAGAGCAGAGGTCTTCAACAGGGGGTCCGCGACCCCTAAGGGGTCCGCAGAGGTACTGCATGGGGGTCGTGAAAGTTTTTTCCACTAATTGAAATGTCTTTAAATACATATTAACATGAATTTAAGACACTGATGTAAACAGATAAATGGTGGCAGAAGATGTCTTTCAGTCATCAATGCACACATTCAGCGACACACAGGAGCTCTTTCATGCTGGGCACCGTTTCATTCACAACACCTGTCCCATCAACCAGGAATCAGAATCAGAAATACTTTAATAATCCCAGGGTGA